AATTATTTGCTATGTAGTGCTGGATAAGAGTACTAAAAAAAAAAAAAAAGACAAATTGCATTGGGGAAGTCTGCTATTAGGGACGTTTCCAAACAGCTTAAGAGTAATGACGTCAATCCAGGGACTAAGGTGTGCCTGATCCAGGCTATGGTCTTCACAATTATTTGCTATGTAGTGCTGGATAAGAGTACTGAATATACCATGGACTGCCAAGAAAACAAAACAGATCTATCTTCTAGAGGGTGAAACCAAGCTTCTCCTTGGAGGCAAAGATTTTGCAGTTCCATTTCACATACATTGGGCACAGGGCCAGGAAGGACAAGTCCTTGGAGAAGGACATCATTCTTGGAAGGGTGGAGGGATAATGCAGAAGAGGAAGACCTTGGATGAGATAGGTTGATACAGTAATTAGGGTAATGGCAATAGGTGTGTCAGAGCCACTCAGACTGGCTCAGAATAGGGTAGGGTTCCAAGCTATTGTGCATAGGGTCACTATGAGTCACAGGAGACTGGAGAGCATGCAATACCACCATCACCACAAGGAGTTACAGTGGTCTATGGTAAGAAGTTGCATTCCCAACCCTAAGGCACCAGCTCTTCTGTGGTATTAAGATGAGCAACATCTCTTATGTTATTAAAAGCCTCCAAAAACCTTCTGAGGGTCAACTATTACCCTGTTCTGACTCAACAGGACACACAACATATAGTGACACACTGAACTGTACACGTTAAATGGATCAATTTATGTAAAGTCTACAGAAAACAAATTCTAATGCATGTGTGTATTTGCTTCTTAACAAAATTAGAAGCTTTAGTTCTATGTGTTTAGTATAAAGTGAAATTCTTACCAGATTATGTATAATATTTGTTAGGGTCCAAGCAACAGGAACACTGAAGAAGGGGATGCTGAGTAAGACAATATGAAGCAAGCCAACTCCCAAAGCATATGTCAGCCACATACCACGGCTGTTCATTACACGGGTATTTGGATTCACCTCGCTGTGGGCAACTCCAACATTCATGTTTGCTCTGTAAAGAATCAATGAAATAAATCAACACGAGTAAAACTGGGAACCTACATACACCTAATTATAAACTTGAAAAATAGTGTTACTAAGATTCCTTCTTTCCTAGTTGTTCTGATAGAACACAAAAACTCTCAAAAATATGTATCTGACTGATGAGGAGGCAAAGATACAATTTTCTTTGAAAAAAATGGTTTAAAACCTTTTTTTAAAAGTTTATTTTCTAGCATATTGGTTTTACTCAACGAAATAATGGGGAGTAAAATTCTAGCTAACCTAGACAATCTTTGAGTTGCTTTGTATGCATCGGAAAGTTGGATAGTGAATAAAGATGACAAAAGTATCAATGCATTAGAATTGTGGTGTAGGTGAGAGTAGGTGAATATTCAAAGGATTATGAAAAGCACACACACATATCTGTCTTAAAGGAAGTGCAACCAGAATGTTCCTTGGAGGCAAGGATGGTGAAATTTTGTTTCACTTAGTTAGGGCCTATTTTCAGCAGGAACCAGTCCTTGGTCAGAGACATCATGCTGGGAAAGGGAAAAGGTCAACAAAGAGGAAAATGCTCAGTGAGACTGAGTGGCACAGTCCACAATGGGCTTGAGCAGGACACAGATCATGAGGATGGTACAGGAGAGGGCAAGGTTCAGACTTCTTGTTCATAGGTCACTGAGTCATCCTCAAATCAATTCACCTAACAGGAGACAATGTACATTTTCTTACACTTTCATTGTTGAAGGAAAAACTTCTTTTATCATCAACAGAAGGAACTAAGATAAAACTGACCCAGCCAGACTGTTCTGAGCAGCCAAATTCCTAAGGTAATGCTGGATTCATAAACTGAATAGAATTCAAATGACTCCTTTTTCAGTACTAAACTTTCCAGGAGGAACAAGTGGTTAACACTATGAGGTGAGAATTTTACAAGGCTAAGATAACACTTCTTTCTCAGTTTTGTGATGCAATTTTTAAAGCAATCAATGTTTCTTCCAAACTGCCATAAAAATTTATTTTCTTAGTTGGCATGCATCCAGAATCTAAAGTTGATTATAACTACTTTAGCTCCAGAAATCCTCTGAGACCTGGAAAAAAAAAAATTTCTTTTCCTTCTCTTTTAGAGTATTCCCCTATCCTTCTAAGTTCTTGAACTACTATCTCCCAGTGTTTTCCAATAATGGTTACTTAACAGCTGGGCTTTTTAACCACTGAAGCACTACTAGAGATCCTCTAATTAATCATACTACCAGGTCTCATGCGGCACATAACAACAAACAACAACATTCTTTCTACCTACCTGTCTCTAGTCTTAGAATCCCTTTCAAGTGTCAGGAAGAAAACTGACTAGTATGCTGAAAGAGGGAAAGAGGCCATATTATATTTGAAGCAGCTCTAACTTTCAAAGATAAAGCCCTTCCTTTCTGTTGTAGAATTGCCAGATAGGCATTTTTCATAATCTCATCCAGCAACTGCTTCCCAAACACAACGTTGTTCTCGTAAACAGGCACGTAGAAAAAGCTACATTAAAACAAAGTGTAAATTCCCAACTAAAAATACTTTCTTATATTGTAATCATTCATAACTTACCAGACGTTACGTTATGGTTATCACACCTTATTTTCTTAAAAAGTGTTTACAGTATGCCTCCACTCTAGGCAGTTTCCCCACCTTCTACAGGCTACAGAAAATGCTGGAATTTACATGACAGCCTGAAGGCAAATCTGGTGTGGTCCTGACCCCCCTTCCCTAATTCAGAAACGCTTTTCTCTGCAAGTCTGTCTGCACGTAGCCGGCTCGAGAAGACAGCCGCCACTCCAGGGCAGGCAAACAATGACTTTATAGACCGTGAACTGCGCGTGTGCCTGCCGGGCCCTCGCGGGGCCTCTAGAACGGCGCCCAGAAGCGGTTCGCTCTGGGGAGTCCCCCGCCTTTCGGGACAGATCGGCAGTCCGAAGTCCCGGCCAGTGAAAGCTCAGCAAAAGCCGTCGGTGCTACGGCCGCCGCTGAGCCTCCCCCAGCCCTGAGAGCTGCACAACCAGGAGGATCGTGGCACGATGCCCAGGATTCAGGGGTGAGCCTAGGGGACCATCTGACCAGCACAGTCGCAGAACCGCCAGACAGAGAGCCCACGTTCCAGCCTCCCTCCCCGAGGAAAGCTTCAGCAACAGCAGCACAAATCCCCGGCGCTGCCTCGCCCGCACTCACCCGGCGCCCCAATCCCCGCGGCCGCCAAGGAGCAGGACCACCCCGCCGGCGACGGCGTCTCCTCGCAAGCCGAACCCCACTGGCCAGTATCGCTTGCGGAAGCCTCCAGAGCTGAAGGAGCTGCCAGCGATTGGCTGCGAGCAGGGCCAATCCCACTTCCCTCCAGGGAAGGCGGGACTAGAGGGCCCCGTGCGTCGGGGGCCTGCCCTGCGGCGCGAAGGACCTCGGCGGGTGAGTCAGGGTCGCGCGACGCCGAGCTGCTCCCGGGCGGGGCGCTGGTTGGTCCCTGCAAGTGGATGGTGCTTGCCCAGCTTGCGTGAGCCTGAAGGTAGTGTTGTGTGGCTAATGGGCGTTCTTGCATTCTCCTAGGCTCCAGGGCCATCTTCCCTTTACTCATCCTGGGCGGAGCGCCGGCGCCGCGGGCGCCTTCTGACGGCGGGAACCAGACCCAAAGGCTGCGGGCGCGCGCGACTATAGCGTACTTCCCGCACGGCCAGTCCCCTGATGGTCTCCTATGGCCTTGCCTGACTACATTGTGTATACTGATCACTGCTTCGATTCTGGCTTAAAGAATTGAAATTGTTGCCCTAGCATACATTTTAATCACGGCAAGTTGTAACCGGTCTTGTGATTATGGCGGTTTATAATTGTGTATGTTATTGGAGCAGACAAGTGGTGCAAGTAAACAGCTTGTAGTTAACCACACTTTTGCTACTATCAATCTAGATTTATTGATAAGCTAAAATAGACATTTGTGCTACATCCTGAAAAAAATGTATACCATGGAGTGAATTTTGACTCACTATGACCCGATAGGACAGAAATGTCCATAGAGTTTCCTATTTGATCAGCCCCTCTGCGGGAAAAAGATGGAGCATTCTGCTTCTATAAACATCACAATCTTGGAAACCG